TTGTGTGTTGACTATGTAGTTAGTTTGCGTGTCAGCTAGGCTGATTTTGAGTCTTAATGCGGGCGTAGTATTTAATATCGTACGAAGGAATTTAATTTGTTGTTTGTAACGCGGTACTTGTGACCCTAGAGAAGGTCGTGTTCGGTTCTAGAAATAATTTGTTGCTGAGTGAAAACGGAAGTGAACTTTGATCCACCGTTCATTAGTCGTGCCATGTGCTACGTTTTTGATTACGATTAACGAGGATTTAGTTGAGTTTGAATGTACAATAAAGTTGATGGATTGAAACAGTGTACAATAAAGTTGATAGACTGAAATAGTGAGATGAAGAAAGAAGTTGTCAATTGGTGACGTACGCTGGAGTAAAATCACATTGTGGGGCAGCATCGGACCAGGCCGCTGCCCGATCACCTCAGTTGGGTCAGGTCACATAATATATAAACACTACTACACACCACTTACATGCACCTACACCTACCTACCGCCTGACCGAGCCTTGGGGCAGTCTTAGCTTCGGAACCAGGTACGTACTATTTGTTTACCTAGCCTTATATCTATTGTGTAGAATTATAAGTCTCCATAGGCCGTTGGGCCCCGTCCCTTGTTGCCCGTCGATGGGATTACTCATGGGCCCTAGTCCCGTCAACCTTTGTTGGGGCAGCTAGGGGCGTGTACAGTTATTATTTACGGATTTATTTAAAATGTTAGAAAATAGCATCTTAGAGCAACCTGTACTTAGAGAACTGTCGCGGAGTGGTCATTGGCCGGGGTCACGGACTCACGGATAATAACATCGCATCATTGAAATTAAAACGAATAAACAATACTATTGAAGAAAAGAGACATCCTTTGACGGCGCAGATAACGCGCGCCGTCCCACCCCACTGCACCGAAATCGAATTCTTTTTTTTGTTTTTTTTTTAGTGCTAGCCGAATCCGTACGGTCGCGTGATAAATTAATAAGAGTGAATTATTGTCAGTGGTTACTGAGTAAAATTGAAGAGGACAGTGACTTTCTTTCCCAAATTTGTTGGACTGATGAAAGCACGTTCACCAGAAACGGCATATCGAACCAGCACAATCTGCACCATTGGGCACCCAAAAACCAAAATCCACGCGTTTGGCGGGAGTCAGCTCATCAGTACAGACTTTCAGTAAATGTTTGGGCAGCTATTTACGGTGACAACATCTTCGGACCCGTATTCATTGATGGGGCTTTGAACGGAGAAAGGTTTGTTAACCACCCATTTATAATAACCACCAAATTAGTTAGATATATTGTCAAGCCAGAGTATATATTATATATAGTAGGTCAGGCCAAAGACAATTTTTTTTAAATGAAGGTAAATATAACTTAGAGTCCTTACTAAGTTCTTATCCAAATATAAATAATAATATAAAAAAATAATAATATAATATTATTAGTGAAAAAAAAAACACATGTTTATAACCTATAACAACAAAGTTATTTTTGCTTTGTCATCCAACAAGAACAATGTCTGCGCAATAGCAGCGACATCTATTTTCAATCATCAAAACCACTTGCCACGCTCAAAGACATCGATCGATTTTTCGATTAGTTAGTTATTGAGTTAGCGGAGATATGTATTAATTAGTACTGTGGAGTTTCCGTAGAGGGCGTTAACTGTACGGACGCTGCAAAACGGTTGTGTTGAGTTGTTGATACAGTTATATAAGGCACCAAAATGTCAGAAATAGAGTAACTACTAAAGGAATTGAGAGTTGACATAAAAAAAACTCTGAATGACGTCTTGTGCAGCTAAACAGTGTTCTAATAATTCAAGAAATAAAAATAAGATACACGGGATTACTTACCACTCATAATTATAGCTAAAAATTTTATTTTGTTGAAAATTATAATGATGTTTGTTGTTGACTTCGCCATGTTTGTGAGAGCGAGATAGATAATACAAACATGCGCGAGAGACACGATACGCAATTAACTAACGCGATTTCGCTCGCACAACTACGTTTCCTATCTCTGTCCTTGTCTATCGGTAAATTTGATTTTGTGACTATGATAACAGATGTGTGTGAACATTCCGTTTTCTTCACACTGCTTGTTTCGACGGCTATCTCTCTCTTTCTGCACGTGTTCGACTCTCGAAATGGGTGGTGTTTTGTAAAAGTAAGCTCTATTACAATGCTTATAGATATGAAATATGCATGTCATATTGACATGCATATTTCATATCTATGTAGCCAGATTTTTGAATTTTGTTGACATTATTTTTTTAGTCTCCATTGAAATGTGCTTTACATAGTTAAACGTATTTAGTAGTTTTCTAAATTGAGAGATTAACTAAAATATAATTATTCATAGTATTAAGTTCTAAGTGTTAATAGTGAATAGTATAAACAGGAATAGTGGTATTTATGTATTTAAGTGGTCAAATAGTGTAAATATTAACTATGTTGGCGTCGGCCCGTAAAAACAGTAGAGTGATATGGCACCATTTTGAATAAGACAATAAAACTTTCAGCAACGTGTAATGAATGTAAAGATGTATTAACTTATAAGTCGTCCACCGCCAATTTAAAAAATCATCTGTGAAAGAACATCCTTCGGTTTATATATCGGTGTAAGGAGCTGATGATGACCAATCCGGTCATTCATCCCGACCAACGACACGTTTAGATGTAAACAAAACAGCGAAGTGATAACGGCCTTTTATCTTAGCTCAGGTTGTTTTTTAACCTTTCTAATATTTTTTTCTGAAATATAAGAATTTCACCCAACCTAGGTGATCAGTCAGTGTACCGTACAAGGTAGATATAAGTTAGATAAATAACTAATTTTATTTCTAGAAAATTGTATTCATGTCCAACGTCCACGACAGCGAAATATGATAGTAGGTACGATCGGGACATATTATGCAAAAATACCGATACGAGTACAAAAATAAACATAAATCAAAATATTTATCTTTGTACCGACTAATTTAGATACCATTAAACAAATACAGCAATAGTTAATGGAATATTTTCCTACAAATTATTGTGTGTATTTTATTATTTCTGACCTAGAGATTTAGAGTGAATTCATGCTATGCCAGGAAGTTGTCGAGTTTCCACTAACCCTGTATAATATGGTTTTTAACGGGAGAGTAAATTAATTAGATTTTTGTGTTTGATTAATAAACATCGTTTCATAAATTCGTACCTATGTTTTATTGAGGTATAATTGATTGTGTAATTGTATTAAAAATGACAACCATAACTTCTAAATTCCATATGAAGACTAGTCGTAGGGATAACTGAACTTATAAAATAAACGTTAAATGTCGTAACGGTTTAAAGGTCTGTGGAAGTGCTCAGTCCTTCAAGGACGTTACGAATGCCTCGTGCGCATTTGTTTTGGTGGGATTGATTATTAATTTTAGTTTCGAAACAGCTTCGTGTTGACTATCGCATGCGCGTGAGCGACAGTTTAGCAATAGTTTTGTTTATTACATTCTTGTTGTTATAACTTGTTGTTGCCTTTGGTTTTTCTTGTTTTGTTTTAATAATGCTTAACGCGTAGGTAGGTTTATAGTACTCGTGAAAACTGCAACATGTTAATGTGCCTTGGAGCATCTCATAAGGCCACTTAGGATTTAGATCGGTAAGCTATTTCATACCTAATTTTTTTTTAATAATTAGTACTGAACTCATTTCTATAGGTATATAACTGTATAAATCTGAATAATAAATATACCTACACGACGGATAAAAAGCATGACTCTAATCTTGTTAACATTTCATTTAAGTATTTTTTTTATTAGCGGGGTATCGAACCAGGTATTTGGTTTATTTAACCTGTTAATAAAGTGGCTAGGTGAAGATAAGCACAGTGGCAAAATAGTAGATTGAGTGGATAAGTTAGGTATTTAGACAAGTGTTGTAAATTATTAGGTATAGTGGTGCCATGGCTAGCTGCGGGCCGCGCGAATTCGACGTCCACGCGTACATTGACGCCTAGTTAGCCCGATTGTAATTCTGCTCTTGGTTTTATATTTAAGTATTTTCATGATTTTTTTAACGAAATTTTCGTTTCATATAGCTGTACTAACATGATGGAGCGTGAGTAAAGTTAATAAAACGTTGTGAAAAGATGTTTTTTTTTCTTGAGATCGAAATTCTTTGTGACCCATCATCAAAGGTATCCATAGTACTATCATCTGTTTACATTTTCGGGAGTGTTTCACAAACACCCGGTAGAGTAGATATAATAAAGTGATCGTATAGGAAATTGAAGGAGGCTTTTGAAAACTGCATGACATTTTGCTTAAGGTACCATGAATGGCTTTTGACGAATAAATTATTTTCGAAGCGATATTTTCATTGAGAAAGGATAAAAATTTGAGTTTTAATACATAATAATAATATTTTTTTTGTTTTCACCAAAATTATCGTTATGAGCAATTTTTGAATCTTATTCATTTTTCCCTTTTTTTAGATGAGCAAAAATTTGGAAATATTTTCGGGTAGTTTCCTTAGGATCACTCTAGAACCTAATGTGATAAAAAATCCAGATGTTATGTTTAGATCTGAAAACTAGACGCTTGGAGCTACAATTTGTTTTTTCTTTTTTGCTTTTTTTTGTTTAATTTAAATTCTTAATTTTTGTGACTAGTGTATATTGACAAAAAAAAAACCGTTCCAGTGGATGGATGTGGTTTGTAGACATTTATCTTCGTTTAAGAATCAAAATGCAGATGGACTGTCACCCCTGAGGACGTAGGTGGAATGTCTTGCAATTAGTGAAAAGGGTATCCGGTTTTGTACACTTATAATACGAAACACAGCAGCATTGAGCACTATTTAGCGTATTTTGTGCGAGCGTGGTCCTCTCCCGGTGGAGTCTAGCCATTCGTGCTATAAGTATAATATACTTGCAGCGTGGCTTTATTACGTGGGTTTGTTGAATGGTAGAAAGAGTAAAGGTGGGCGGGGCGAGTGAATGAAACAAGGAGGATACGGGTACAGCGGTATATTGTCTAGAGGCGCTGCAGGTGCGGCGCGTGGGGCGCGTGGGGCGCGTGCGGCGCGTGCGCCAGGTCCAGGTCGCGGCGGCGCGCGGCGAGGCGCGCGTGCAGGTAGCGCGCCGCCGCCTCGCCGCTCCAGGCCTGCGCGTAGAACTGCCCGCGCCGCTCCTCCTCGGGGTTGCCCGACCCGCCCGACAGCGTCTGCACACACGCACACACACTCACACCCCTCCACTAGCTCCTCAAACACGAACCTACTCCGCTTCAACTTACACATCGACACGTCCAACGCCTCAACCCACCCATAGCCACGAGTGTGATAAAGCACCCGAAACGTCACAAATTAAAAATAAATAAAATTAAACACGATAAAATACATATAAAATAGTTTTATTCGACATATAAACATAATTAAAATTCAAAGTACAGAATCAACCCACAAACATTGTACGTCGACCTTCAAAAAAAAATCGACTATTTTTGACTTCGTTGAGCGTTACCTCTATCATACACTAACATCTGTGACGTTTCTCAATAATTTTTTCCCAATTAGGTTTCTAGAGACAAAATGTTAAATGTTTTTACAAAAAAAAAATCATAATTATTTTACGACTAATAAACAACAGACTGTTATTGCTTCGTACAACAGAAATAACGCTCTTCGACGCCGAACTAATCGATCATCTCTTTCCAAAAGTCGACATGCAATATTTGTCGCCAAGAAATGTACGCCGTGACTAACGCTAGTGAATAGTACGTGGCATGGACAACGCTTCGTTTGTCAAGACCCTAGTTCCAATAAGCCATTAATCTTAGCTAAACAAAGTAAACTTATCATTCAACCTGTGACGATGCTATCGTCCCGCCACAAGCGAAACGCACCGACCGACACCTAAAACGCACTGTCAAAGCACAGAATACTGCGGTATATATAAAATAGCTGTCTATCACACGAAGCGTTGGCCGCTTTCTAAACTGAACACCTTGCCCAGCTAAAGATATCCTCTTTTCATTTAACAACCAAAACTCAAAAACTTAACCCTATTCTTATTTATTTTTTTATAGAACAGGGGCCAAACGAGCATACAGCTCACCTAATGGTAATGTCGTACGAAGACGAAAACTCCTAATAAATCGGGGCATAGTGGACCACAAAACAAATAGATGGTGTGGATGGTATCGTAACTTTTATCGCGATTTGCATTAGTTAAATTTGGTGACTGAAATCAATCCGAACAATTCCTTAGAGCACACCCCATGGGAAATGCGATAGCAAATGCAAAAGATGCAACAAATCTATACGCAATGCCAGAGGATTGAGTTAATAAGAAATCATTCAATTATCAACTATTGAAGCCATTCTGCGCTGGGTACGATCAAGTTGAAAAAGCTGGCATGAGGATGCCCCGCGCCAGAGATGAGAACAATATTCCATGTGAGTCCAAACCTGTGCCTTGTATAATTGCATACGCACATATGTGTATGTGCTGGGATGGAATACTGACACACTCTGCTGAACACGCCAAGCTTTTTAGAGGCGGACCGATACGACTCAGGGACCTTCAAGAAAAGAGCTTACTCCTTTCTAAAAGGCAGGCAACGCACCTGCAATTTTTCAGGTGTTACGGTTGTTCATGGGCGGCGGTAGTCACTTACCATCAGGTGAGCCGCATGCTCGTTTGCCCCCTCTACTTTTTAAGTCTAATTTAGCCTTTCAACCGACCGCGAAAGAGAGATGACTGACAGCAGTTCATTCAATATTTCGACAGCGAGGATTCCGATGCTGATGATGCAGCAAAGGGAGTGCTCTGAAATCGAGGAGATACAACAAAGGGGTTCTTTAAGCAGTAAACGCGCAGACCTGTGTATTTTGAGGGTTAAAGTGGATTAGATTTAGTCGCCCCTAATCCGAGATTTTGTTTAACAAAGACTAGACTTCAGACACAAGTTTCTTCCAGTACTCGACGACGTGTTCCCGAGAAAAATTAGCACGGCCGATGTAAAAAAAAAAAACACCACGGCTGTCGTCCGCATAGGTATGAATGTAACTGGTTTGCAAAATATCATTGATAAGCGGAAGAAAATGCGTAGGTTATAGAATGCAGCCTTATGGAACACCGACATTAATAGGCTTATAGTCGGAGCATGCACAATCTACGACGACCTTGATGTTCCGATCTGCAAAAAAACTGGTGACCCAATTACATAGTTTCTCGGGAAGACCATAAGTAGGAAGCTTCGACAGATGACAAACCCGATCGAAGGCCTTGGCTATGTCTAAACTAACCGCCAGGGACTCCACTTTGGTCTCAAAAGCCTCCGCTTATCGGTGAGTTAGTAAGACAAGAATATCACCAACTGAGCGACCTCGACGAAAACTGTATCTGCGGGACTTTCGACAGTCAATAATTAGCTGATGCTCTTCGAGATGGCAGTTTATAATAGATTCCATTATTTGGGAGAACAAGGATATGATGGCGATAGGCTTATAGTTGGACGGGTCTGAGAAATCGCCTTCTTTAGGGATCCAGTGCATTCCATGATATTGGGACTATGCCAAGGGAGTAGGAGTATCGAAAAAGACGCATTAGAACCGGTGGCAACTCCAAGAGCACGGTGACATGATATCCGTCCGGATGAGAGGTCAGCAGAAAGTAAAACAAAAAAGGTGCATGATCCTCCACATCTGGTATCCCGGTAGGCGAAGTAAATAGTTGTGTCAGACTATAAGCCAAGGCAAAGTCATAAACAGATGTCCCCACATGATAGGTTAAGCGTGAACTAATTCATTTAGCGTGGTGGGTGTTAAAATGTATCCGTTTTAGCACGGGGTCTGTAACCATTTGAACGTGTTCGATGTGTCAGTCTGTGTCTTCTTCTTTAGTACAAGTATATACTAGAATAGAGACTACTAGTGAATCGATAAAGGCTGAATCAACTACATGCGCGCCACCATTGGCCAAACAGTTTAATTGTCATAATATCTCTTAGCACACAATCAGCCTAAACAGTTTGAACGATTTCACAAGTGTATTTATGCATTGCTACTTACTACGTGTTACAAAAATAGTTAAGAGGTTTGTTTCTACCCAAATAGATTACTAGGCAAAATAGGAGATCATTTTATTCACATTGTACGATACTCCAGATATATACAATTAGATATAATACAATTTGGACTCACCTTCAAATCTCTCGACTGACTGACAAGCCATTTCTGAATGAACTGTTGCGGATCTTTACTGAAGCTTAAGAAAAATTCGCGATTGGTTTTCAACTGATTGATAGTATCCACCTGAAATATGATAGTGATATATAAAATACAGCGCATATAGTTTACATTCAACGGTCCACGGTTGGGAGTTACCTACTTCCATAATCGCTATAATATGTGGCAAACAAATCGAGGATCACAATTTCTGATTTCTGACACCTTAATGCTCCACATATCATCAGTGTAACAATTTCAAAATTCTTACCACTATCAGTTTTGAAATGAAATGAAGATTTATGCTTTGAAAAAGCATTTAGGTGGTTATTGTAAAGTTTAGTTCAGCTTTTTTAGCCATCTATGAATAGCATGCAAATACATTTTTTTATAATTAAGTTTACTATATTGCAATATCAAATTCAATTAAAATATTTATCGGCATGTCATCGTTTACAAATTAGCAATACTAGTACCAACACTTGTATTATAATTGCATAAAAATTTAAATATAATTAAGATTAAAATTCAATTAAAATATAGAACCACTGTTGTGTCACATCATGTCAAAGAACAATGGCAGAAAAATAGTTGACAAAAATTATTGCGTCTAGAAATAACTTATACCGGGTGTTTGTGAAACGCTCCCGAAAACGAAGACAGACGATAGTAGGTACTACACCTTAGCACATGGGTCACAAATAAATTTGATCCCGAGGAAAAAAATCATCTTTTCACAACGTTTTATTAACTATATTCACGCTCCATCATGTACAGCTAAATGAAACTATAATATCATTAAAAAAATCATGAAAATAGTTTAAACAAAAAATAGTGTTTATAATTGTGTGAGTACTGAGCACCCAATTAGGTACGTTTATTAATTTCAACATTTTTTTGTAGTAAAGAACTGCTTGTTGCGTCAGGGTACAATTGATTGTGTAATTGTATTAAAAATTACAATCATAACTTTTAAATTCCATATGAAGACTAGTCGTAGGGATAAAACTTATAAATAATAAACGTTGACGATGTCTTAACATAACGCTTTAACGGTGTGTGGAAGGTTCCAGTGCTTCAAGGACTTTACATTGTGCGCATTTGTTTTAGCGTGTTTGATTAATTATTGTAGTTTTTGAGACAGTTCCGTGTTGACTATCAAAAGAGACAGTTCAATTGTTTTGTTTATTAAATTATTGTCGTTATTACTTGTTATTTATTCATCATCATTACAGCCCTTCACAAGTCCACTGCTGAACATAGGCCTCCCCCAAAGAATGCCACAAAGCACGGTCCTGAGCCACCTGCATCCATCGACTTCCTGCACATCTTACCAGGTCGTCACTCCATCTAGTGGGGGGACGCCCTACACTTCGCCTGCCGGTACGAGGCTGCCACTCGAGAACCTTTCTTCCCCATCGGTTGTCGGTTCTTCGAGCTATATGGCCGGCCCATTGCCACTTCAGCTTACTAATCCGTTGGGCTATGTCGGTCACTCTGGTTCTACTGCGGATATCCTCATTTCTGAGTTTATCACGCAGAGAAACTCCGAGCATAGCCCTCTCCATAGCTCGCTGAGCGACCTTGAGTTTCCTCATCCGGCCAGCAGTGAAGGACCACGTCTCAGTTCCGTATGTCATCACTGGCAACACGCACTGGGTGTACAGTCTCGTTTTCAAGTTTTGAGGTATACCTGACGAGAAGATGTGCCGTAATTTCCCGAACGCTGCCCAACCGAGTTGAATCCGTCGATTGACCTCTCGGTCGAAGTTGGACTTACCTAGTCGGACTATTTGTCCCAGGTAAACATACTAGTCAACAACTTCGAGCTTAGTGTTCCCAACAACTACCGGCATAGGTGTGACATGGACATTAAACATGATCTTTGTTTTGTCCATGTTCATCTTAAGACCTATCCGTTGGGAAACACTATTGAGGTCATTGAGCATAGTGCTTAGGTCCTCCAGCGATTCTGCCATAAGGACTATATCGTCGGCAAATCGAAGGTGAGTGATGTACTCGCCATTGATGTTGATACCGTATCCTTTCCAGTCCAGAAGCTTGAAAACGTCTTCCAACGCAGCGGTGAAGAGTTTCGGGGATATGACGTCACCCTGTCTTACACCTCTCTGCAATTGGATAGGTTTCGTACTCTGGTTCTGTACTCGGATAGCCATCGTAGCCCTACTGTACAAGCACTTCAACACTTCGATATACCGACAGTCAACTTGGCATCGCTGAAGGGACTGCAGCACCGCCCAAATTTCGACGGAATCAAAGGCTTTCTCATAGTCCACATACGCCAGACATAGTGGTAAATTGTACTCCTCGGACTTCTGTACAATTTGCCGAAGGGTATGTATGTGGTCTATGGTGCTAAAGCCTTTTCGGAAACCGGCTTGTTCGGGAGGCTGGAAGTCGTCAAGTCTGCGCGCGAGACGATTCGTAATGACTCTCGAAAACAGCACGTAGACGCGGCTCAGAAGGGAAATCGGTCTGTAGTTCTTCAAGAGAGCGTTGTCGCCTTTCTTGAAGAACAAGACCACCGCACTTCTGCTCCACGCCTCCGGTGTAATGCCACCATGGAGGACGGAATTAAAGAGCTTCTGAAGGACTTCAAGTACCGGTTTTCCACCCGCTTTCAGAAGCTCCGCTGTAATTCCATCCTGGCCTGGGGCCTTGCCGTTTTTAAGGTGCTGGAGAGCCATTCTAATCTCGCTCAGACTGACGTCCGGGATATCATCGGAATAATGTCGGATAAGACTCGCTCTTGGATCGTTACTCACACTGGCGTGTGGCTCCAACGATGACGTGTACAGCTGCCCATAGAACCTCTCAATCTCACTCAAAATCTCAGGTGCCCCGGAAACGATGCTGCCACATTCGGTCTTCAGCTTTGACAGTTGGCTCTTTCTGGCAGACAGATCTCTGGCAAAGACTTTGGAGCCTTGGTTCCGCTCGATCGCTTCTTCAATACGAGCTGTATTAAAGTTGCGTAAGTCCCGCCGCATGCATTTGGAGATCTGTCTGTTCAGTTGCCTGTATGCTGTCAAATCTGTTGAAGAATGTAGCTTCATCTCCCGTCTAACAGCCATGAGATTAAGAGTGTGATCGGAGAGTTTTTGTGTTCTTCTGCGGCGGGTCTTGCAGAACTTAGCTCCGACCGCATGGACAGTTTCCACGAGCTTGTCATTCAAATCGTCCACTTCATAGCAGTCTTCTAGGCACTGAAAACGGTTTTGCAACTCGAGCTGAAAGGTTTCGGGACTTTGGATTAGAGCACGAGGGGGACGGAGCGTTGACTTCATTAGACGAGACCTCTCCAACTTAACGTTTAGGTTCAGTGTGCCTCTAACCATTCGGTGATCGCTGCCGGTTTTCACCCTCGCGATCACTGAGACATCACTGAACAGTTGTCGTCTGGTCGTCATAATGAAGTCAATCTCATTTTTTGTCGAACCGTCGGGGCTCGACCAGGTCCACTTCCTGTGGGGCCGCTTCTGGAAGAAAGAGTTCATCATAAAGAGTCCCTCTTTCTCCATGAAGTCGGCCAACTGCTGGCCCCTTGGGTTCCGTTGCCCTATTCCAAATTTCCCCACTTTCAGCTCACCGTTCTCTCTTGTGCCTAGTTTTGCATTGAAGTCTCCCATTAACACCGTATATTGGGTTTTGGAGGAATGTATGGCTCTAGAGATATCCTCATACATTTCCTCCACCTCCTGATCGGGGTGTGCCGAGGTTGGTGCGTAAACCTGTATGACCTTCAGCGAATACCGTTTGGTGATTCTGAGTATAAGGTACGCAACCCTCGTCGACACACTCTCAATCTTTACAACGTTGTTAACGAGAGACTTGTGGACGATAAATCCGACACCTCCTTGGGACAGATGGTCGCCCTCCCGGTAATAGAGCAAGTTGCCGGATTCGAGGATTACCGTGTCCTCCCCCTCTCTTCGGACTTCGGATAATCCTATAATATGCCAGCGTAACTTGTCTATCTCTTCTTCCAGCTCCACAATCTTCTCGTCAGTCCTCAGGGTGCGTGCGTTGTATGTTGCCAGGTCGAGTCGTTGTAGGTGGCAACCGAACCTCCACCGGAGATTCTTAGCACCCCCTATCTTGTTATTTATTACTTAATGATATTATTCTTGTTGTGACTTTTTAAGTTTCTTGTTTTGTTTTTATAATGCCTAACGCGTACATTTATCGTGCTCGTGAATACGGCAACATGTTAATGTGCCTTGGAGAAGCTCGCGGGAATGCTTCGCATGCATTGCGAATTTACCGAGAGAAATTCCCGACCGCTCGACATCCAGCTGACTCTCATCTGATAAAAGCAGCATTTCAGCGAGTGTTGGGAAATCGGCCCATTGCTCTGGTAGCGGCAGGAGGTGGAAGTCAAGTGGCTGTTCACTCAGAGGAGCGCATTTTAGATGTCGTTCGCCGGAGTCCGAACCTTGGTACACGAAGTATCGCTAAATTGTTAAGGCGTCGGGATGGAACAAGTGTGTAATACTATACAGTTCACAAAGTGTTAAAGCGTAACCGAATGCGCCCATACAAAGTGTACAAAGTGCAAGCGTTAGTTACCGGCGATCACGACCGCCGGCGAGTTTTCCGCCGTTGGTTATTAGACCAGCAACAACCTGCCTTGGGTTCATTGAGCACGTCACCACGGAGGATTTAGAGCGGTAAGCTGTTTCATACCTAATTTTTTTAATTAACTTATTACTGAGCTGATCTGAATGGGTACATAACTGAATACATCGAATAATAAACATACCTACACGATGAATATAAACGCATGACTCTAACCTTGGTTACATTTCATTTAAGTATTTTTTTCATTAGCGGGGAACCGAACCAGTTATTTGGGTTATTTAACCTGTGAATTCGAATTAAAGTGGCTACGTGGAGACAAGCACAGTGGCAACATAGTAGGTTAAGTGGATAGGTTAGGTATTTAGGCAAGTATTGTAAATTATTAGGTATTGTGATATGGCCCACTAGGCTAGTGGGCGCGCGGCCTGAAGCTAGTGGCACTAACTGCGGGCCGCGCGAATTCGGCATTCGCGCGTACATTGAACCCTACTGATTGTAATTCAGTAATTCCACTGCTTGTTTTATGTTTAAGTATTTTCATGATTTTTTTTTTATGTAATTAGCGTTTCATGTAGCTGTCCTAACATGATAGAGAATGAATAAAGCTAATAAAACGTGAAAAGATTTTTTTTTCATCAGGATCGATATTATATTTCACCCATCATCAAAGGTATAGTTGGTACTGTCGTCTGTCTTCGTTTTCGGGAGCGTTTCAAAAATACCCTGTATATAAAATGAGTTTAATTATTATTCTACGATTTTTCAAATAAAAATTAATTTTACATTAAAAAAAAAACATATATTTTTGGGAATATCAAATGACTTTAATCCTTTTACACTATTCAAGAGCTGCCATTTACTATATTCATACTATTTTCGTATACACTTTGTAAGACTACCAACACAACACACAAATACAAAATATTGTTATATTAAGTTATTATTGATAATAACTATACTATCAGTAATAATAAAAATAAAAGTGATATGGTTGAAAATAAGTTTCTTACAAAGAACTTCCTACAATAATACATTATCTCAATCATAGTACTATGTAACAATTCCAATTAATGTTATGGCAATACTAGCTAAAACAAAATGTCACTGTTTTTTTAACTGACTTTAAGGCTCTGGGTTCTAGCCTTTCTGAAAATGTCACTGTATGACACAAAGGCCCTGGAGCCATGCCAGAAATATACATTTATAGTATTTAAATATATAACAGACATACAATAATCCAAAAACTTTCGTCTATGTAGGTAGATACACTATGTTGAGAATGTATTAAGCTAAAATCAAACAACCACAGGACGCATGACTTTTTCCAAGTGACATAAAACATAACCTAAAATGGTTCAAATCTAAATATCTTTTTTGACGCCTTCTCAGGACAAAATTCCTTGACAATGTTATTTAGGGACTGACGCTTAACATTTTAAGATATTTTTGATATACAGACGCTACCATTCCTTCTCAACTAATTTTATGTATGTAAGTCTGCCATTGTTCTTTAGGTAGTCATTCACATTATAAAAACAATGTTCATTTAGCCACCTGTAAAGAGCACCTTTAAATATATTAAGGGGTAAGTATTTTATGTTTTGGGGTATTTTATTAAATATGAGGATACACATCCAGGAGCAGTTTTTTTTAAAAATCAGGCACTCTTGGGTATAATATCAGCAGGAAGTCTATTGCCATTTCTGGTATTTCGCGTGTAAATCTCTTTTGCTTGTCTGAAATAATACATGTTTTGTTTTACAAACTTTGGGGGTAGTATTTTCAGAGATATAAATAGCGGTCTGCAAGGCTCATCAGGTGCAGTGCCACATACTGCTCTAATACATTTTGTTTGGGCAATGAATGCCTTTTTTGCATCTGTGTTATTACCTCATATAATGAGTCTGTATCGTAGAACGGATTCCACATAAGCAAAGTACGCAGTAAATGCTGTATTTTTGTGGCTACTTTGCTTAGTTTGTAAAGTGCGTACGAAAATCTATTTATTTTTTTACAAACATTTTCAACTTGACTTTTCCAATTTAGTTTTTGATCCATCCATATACATAGGATTGTTGTCATATTTGTACTTTAAAGATTTTGTCCTTCAAAATTAATGTTCATTGTCTGGTATAATATGCCATTGAAATTTATAAAATAAGTTTTGTCAAGATTTTTAACTAGATTGTTATTTTTAAGCCATTATATTATTGTTTTTACTGTAATGTTAATGTCATTAATATGATATTTTATTTTTCGTGTATGTATGTATTATGGATGTTTTAAGTCACAACTTTAGATCCTATCTATATTCTTTTCATACTTAAAGGTTGCTTAAAGTTTAGAATGACAGCTCAACGGCCAGTTATTATATAATGTGTGCACCTGCAGTTTATTTGTTTTGGATAGAGTAACGTGTCGTGAATAAAACAGGGCTTACGTTTCCTGTGCCTGTTTGATTATATATGGCGTTTCGGTGTTGAATATATATATCAATTTATTTTAGCCAAGATACAGTTATCACTATTACAGATATGTTGTCAGCAAATAAAATGCATTTGTGTTTAGTTACATACGCAAGATTATTAATATAGACTAAGAACAACAGTGGTCCCAAAACGCTTCCCTGTGGAACTCCATATTTGTTTTCTTTATGATCAGATATGTAATTTAGGACCACATAATTGTAGTCTGGTCTACTTATTTCAACACATTGTCGTCTATTTCGCAAGTAGGTTTTAATCCAACTTAAAGCAGTGCATTTAATACCACATTTTTCCAATTTTTTCAGTAGTAAATTAGGCGATACAAAATCGAAGGCTTTCGACATGTCAAAGAGAGCAATTTTATAATTATTAGCATTTAGGCATGTTAGAGTCTCATTTACCATATCGAAAACAGCATGTGCAGTAGATTTTCCCTCTGGAACCCATACTGACTGGGATTCAGGACATGATACTTGTCAAAGAGCGATGTGATTTTTCACATACTTTGAAAACTTAACCGCTGACAAAATTGGCACGAGCCAATAGGACGGTAATTGTCCAAAATTGATTTTTGTCTCTTTTGTACAAAGGCTTAATGAAAGAATAGGAGAATGCCAGATCGTGCACCACCTTGTACAAAAAAGGTAAAAATAATAAATTTTGAAGTTTTTTGTGATAAATCGTTATTTTGTACAACTTGCGGTAAAATATTATTTAAAAAAAAATCAACGATTAATATTTACATTTTCAGTCTTTTCTAATAACATCTGCGTATCTTTGTACGATTATTCTTTGATACTTTATGCATACGTATGCATAAAGTATCAAAGAATATATATTTCTATCAAAATATATTATAAGACTTTGTCATACAAAAATGTTACTTAACAATTTTTATTTTCAATTATTATTATAAATCGACAACAATCATGAATTGCATTAGATAATTGCTGAATAACAATCATTGATTTTCGTGCATTCTGTGAAATGATACACACGTCATTGTGTCAATATCGTAAGTGCGTATGTCAAATTAATGTTGAATATTTTCACACATTGACTAATTTGTGCTTGTGAAATATATTGATTATGATTATATCACCTATCCTGCTGTTGTCGTAAAATTAGTTACTAATCTGTAAATATTTACACCTTCTTCAGACACATGCCATAATAATATGTATCTTGATAAATAATTTTGTAAATAATATAACTCGTTTACATGATTAGGACTTAAGATTTTATGAAAAACAGATGGTACTAGTCTTATATTGTGTAAGCGTGTTTTAGATCTTATAGAAGAGAACCATTTTATCAATGTTACTGATCATTATATAATTACGCTCCTTAAATTCTTATTTATATATATATAAATGCAGTTCATTGTAATTTCAGAATATAAATATATATAAAACAATTTATATTCTGAAATTACAATGAACTGCAACGAATGCTGTTCTAAAAATAAGGTAAATGTAATTATTAAAGTTCAGTTTAAAAAAATCGCAAGTTCTAGAGACTTCAAATTATATAATATTGATGAAGTAATAAAATAGAAAAAATGCTGCATACGGCATTCGTGTACACTACACTTTTGAGTGGGGCAAAGTTCTATAGAGAATCTGGCATTCTCCTTTAAGTTTAGCAGGGAAGATACCAGAGTCTATTGATAAGTTTATTAAAAATGCCTATTTTTTTTTACTAATCAAACCGCAGATGCGTTGTCACCCGTGACGACTAAGATGGAATGCCTCGTTTCCAGTAAAAAGGGTCTCCGGTTGCTACACTCACCATACGAAATACAGCAGCGTTAAGCTGCTATTTTACGCTGGTATTCTGTGAGAGTGTGGTCCTTCCCCGGTCGAGCCAACCCATTCGTGCTACAATATACTACTAATATAGCTGCAGCATGGCTCTACCACGTAATACACTACTGTAATAATATTAGTAATACATTACTAATATTCCCATAATAGAGAATTACTAGTAATGGTTATACCATTACTTTCAAGATGAAAAAGCATGTGTTAGAAGTGGTTCACGACAGTAGTCGAATGACGTATTCGAAACCACAACCTTATGAGGTCTCGGTCCGCACCCTGCCATTAGGCTACCGTCGCTTACTGCACTGTATTCTATTTCATTCTCTCACAGGCTAAATCCTATAAATGTATGTTTGTCTCTTTTTAGTGTCGCTTTTTCGTTTCATCGAGTTTGAAATCACAACAATTATAAAAAAACGTTTCACTTCAAAAATTACTCTTATACCATTTATTCTATTGGTGTACGGGGGGGGGGGGGGGGGGGGGGGCGAAAAAACAGAGTTGTTATACTCACACATAGTGTTAATTCTGATGTCAACTTACCGTTTCATGTATCTTAGCATCAAGGCCCTGTATCTCTTGCTGGTTGGCTGTGCTCAGTAGGAAATTGTTCATTTGTGTTTTAAGTGTATCATCCACCTAAAATGAGATAGATACATTATATCATATTAGTGATGGTTATGAAAAAATGAAATTAATTAAATTAACGCTCTTCTATGAAAACAAAAACATTTGATACACGTTTTTCCATCCACTGCTGAACATAGACCTCCCTCATAGATTGCTTCGTTGGGGGATATACGTTTTTGAAATCTAATAAATGTCTAAAAATGAATAAGCTAACTCACGACTAAAAACTTTTGTTGATGCACCTACATTTCTTGAATTCGCGGGTAAAAGTTAAAATTTGTTGGAAACTACTGTGGTGAAAATGTGAACAAGCACATTTAGTGGTTGCAGAACTAAACTAATCAATAAAATTAAAAGGCGTGTAACGTAGTTTTTAAGGCCATAAGTCGGATGGTGTTCGTTGTCATTTATAACAACATCAATCCATCGAGAAGTGTCAAGTATCATTGGATTTTGACCGCTGTCACTTGTGACAGAAGCGCTTGGGATTCTTCGGCCAGGGCTCCTATTGACTGAAGGCTACATAGGTCAATCATGAAGGCAAACAACCTTAAGCTGAGCTAATCATGGCTGGTTTTGTCTGCGGTGGAAATAGTTCTTACACGCAGTATATTTTGATGATTTCGTGTTTCAGCTTTAGCTTAATACAAATTGCCTGTCATGTGGTAGCTTTCTTGCTTGGCTTTTAACTGATGACTTGACGTCTTCAGAAATTGGACCCAGGGGAGTGCCTGCGTCCTGATTTTTCAATGAAGGATTTCGTAATTCAATTTCGGTAACATTTTATATAAATTTTGTGACTGTTACATTTAGTTTCTCATTTCGTTTTTTAAGCGCATCGGAATTCAAAGTATTCGCTTTTTATAATTTGTATAGATATGCAATCTCTTCTCTTAATATTTACTTACTCTATGAATTACCTTAGTTTCCGGATGAATTACTTTTTGTTGTTATTACTTAACATTTAAACACTGAGAACTCATAAAAATTTAAAATATCTTTTATAATTTAGGTGCATGAGGCTTTTCAATCTTATTATCCGAAACTTAAAGTTAGTTCTGCAAGAATGCAACATTATGCAAGACTTTGTATTCTGAACAAGAAGAGTTCCATAGATGAAAACATAGTTCTCCGGAATGTGATCAATAGAAATTTAATTATTTTTGAAACATTGTTCGGAATTGATTATCCATAAATAGTAATCAATAGTTTCAGAGGTTTTCGTTTAACTCTTCAATTCCCAGTATCACCTGTAGGTGACAGATGTTTAACATTTTTTTTTTCTAGCATATGATAATTTTTTTTTGGCATCTTACTATTATTACTACAAAGATAATTAGTCATTAAATTTATTGTTATTTTATTTTAACACTAACTAGACGTCATTTGTAAAATTCATTAAATTCATTCGCTCATATTTGGAATTTTCTAAGTGTGATTTCTTGCAATACAAGCTGAAATAAAAATGTTACATACATACATACATCGTAAGAATTGTTATTTTTCATGAACGTGATAAATGAATATATTAGCTAAAATATTAATGCGCAATTTAAAATTATATTAACGTATTACTCATTACAACGCTCAAAATATGACGTGTCACCTGTGGGTGACACTGGGCATTATTTCTAATTACAACTTGTTTAGGCCCAAACATGGGCATTTGAAAACGATAGCCAATCGCGTTTGACTCGGTGCATCACCCGATGGTGTCGAGGTGAGTTAAACGCCGCCGGGGGGCGGTCGTGTGCCGGCTTCCCGGATTCCGGCCGGTGGGCTGATCAGTAGCTTGACAGTAGTGGCTCTGTCTACTAGCGTATTTTTTTTTGTGACCGCTGCATCGGTTTCGCGCGGCCAGTTTTGGGTTTTGGTGGTCTACAATTTGAGTATTTGTGCGCGTTTAATTTTCTATTGAATATCTGGGATTCGTGTAGACCGCCTCGAATTAGTTGTCTAAGTTGTACGTTTCGTGACAAGAGGCTTGTATTTGAGTGATTAGAGTAATTTCGTTGCAAGTAATTACGTCAATTTGTATAGTGATTGCATGTTGAAATGCATTTTGCAATATTTAACTTGCTTGTGTGACGTGGAACCTTGCGCGCACGCCGAGTGGACAGACGGTCTGGAATTTGATGCTCGCATTCCATTTCGAGGGCGTGGCCGGTTAATTGTTTTTGTAAGTTAATGTTGAACAAAAAGGCACTTAACCCGACGGTACGTCGGGTTAAGTGCCTTTTTGTGTATTGACTATTTAGTTAGTTTTGCGTGTCAGCGAGGCTGATTTTGAGTTATTATTGCGGGCGTAGTATTTAATATCGTACAAAAGAATCTAGCTTGCCGTGCGGAACGCTAACTTTGTGACTCGACAAGAGACTGCGTTCGTTCACTTGCTCGTAGAAATAATTTGTTGCTGAAAGAAAACGGAAGTGAACTTTGATCGACCGTTCATTAGTTGTGCCGTGTGTCACGTGTTTGATTTCGATGAACGTTTAATTGGTTGACTTTGAAGTTAATTATATGTACAATAAAGTTGATAGACTGAAATAGTGAAGTGACGTCAGACTTGAGTTCAGATAAGGTGAACTATCACTGGAGGATCGCACATTTGGAGAAACGCAGCGCCTGCAGATTTGCGGTTCGACTTCCACGGTTAAATCAAGTTACACATGTCCACACTACTCACATGCACATACTTAACGCCTCACCGCGCCTTGGGGTCGGTTCTCGATTCGGAACCAGGTAAGTTCTTATTAATTACCTAGCCTTACATCAATTGTGTAGGATAATTGTTTTTTGAGCCCCACCCTTAGTTGTCCGTCGAATCTACAGCTGTATGGGCCCCTGTATGGTCGACCTTTGTAGGGGCAACTAGGGGCGTGTACACAACTATTGATTTCTTTGGATTGCTTTGTAGTGGTGGATGGTATTTTGGAGCGTCGTTTACGTTTTACGGGTTGACGTTAGATGAGTTTGCTGAGGAGTTGCAAGTCGGGGAGGACCCAGTTACTATTATTTTATTTCCTCCTGATGATGGTAAGGTAACTGACGGAGACAGTGGGGATGAAAACAAGGCGAATATTCTATATTTTCCTAATTGTTTGGTTAAGTCTCAAGTAGAACTACAAAGTAGACCTTCTGACTCTGGAAAAAAATTTTGTAAATGACGAGGAAGTAGAAGAAAAAAAGTCAAGGGTTCTACAGCAAAGAAGAAATATAAAAAAGGAAGTATTATAAAAAAATTATACCGTTGGTGTACCATCTTTCTATTACTTGCTCTCCAGATTATCAAAAATATTGGGACAGTAAAACTATTTTATTGGCTTACCATTACTAAAGTATTTGCGAGACCAAAATGTTAGGAAATTATTGCAGCTAAATAAATAGCATGACAACAGTATCACCACCATTGCACCTAACTTCCATGGATTGAGACTTTTCACAAAAGTATCGCGATAAGCGATCGAAAATTAGAGTGGTTTGTCCAGCTATTTTTTTTTGACTTCGCGGAAAAAAGTGGTGGTATCCTGTTTGCTTTTGATATAGACGCTGCTTGCCAAAATAACTGGACTGTGATTTTCGCAGAAACGTTGCTACTATCTACCTGCAAACATATGATAAGCCTCCAACCCGTGATTTTGCCTGTGAAGTTCCATTCCAGATTGGAGTGCCTAGCCTGCAGTGAATGACCATGTAGAAGTTGTCCGTTCTTAGCGGCGATGTGGATATTGTCATCAACGAACTCAAAAAATGTGCCCCAAGTACCAATTCGTTTTGCGTCTAAAGTTCTAGTATATGTTTCAAAGTAATAATGTGTTAAATGTTTCTTATGTGTCAATAAATATTTCTTTTATAAAAACGGATGTTTTATCCCTACAGAAAGAAAACTTAAACTTTATGATCTATTTAAACAATGCCAGTGACACCCCTATAAGAAATAAGTGGGTGTAGTCGCCTTATTTTTATAATTTTTTTTTCTATACTAAATATATCTGAACCTTATAATAAAAGAAAGTATAATTTTTTTGATAAAGATAGGCATGGGAATTGAAGAGTTAATATGGTGACATAACACAATTTAAGACCTAACCCATAAGACAATTTTGCTATTAATACAGGGTTAGTGGGAACTCGACAACTTCCTAGCAGGGAGTGATACAATCAAAATACTACAAATTTGACCCGCCGATATGTATGGCCGAAAATGAATCATCACCCAGAATTTCGTATTAAATTCTAAAAAAAATTAAACCTTTTTTGTATGCTCTCTTTTAAGTTAATTTATTTTTTTGAAGCTTCGACCAAGCGAATACAATCATAAAAATATACAAAAAGTATTCACAATACAAAAATTATGGGTCTTAATAAATATTTTTTCCCTTTTTTTACACTTTATGTATCAAGTGACTAAAAATGTATAAGGTACCTGCGTTCAGTAAAAGGCCCTTTTATTATTATTATTATTATTCCTTGACTTCACCAGGATATTATTACCTTTTTGGATAGCTGATTAAATGTGCGTTTTTTAAAACATTTTTATGTCTCATGTCATAGTAATTTTTTGAAGTACGTAACATTTTACATAAAGTGTAAAAAAAAGAAAAAAAATATTAATATATATAAGCGAATATACAATCATAAAAAGTTTGTACTTTTTATGATTGTATATTCGCTTGGTTGAAGCTTCAAGAAAATAAATAAACTTAAAAGAAAGCATACAAAAAATGTTCTATTTTTATTTAAAATTTAATACGAAATTCTGGATGATTTGTGAATATTAGTTAAATCCGTATATCTCAAGACCTGTTCATTTTCGGCCATACATATTGGGGTCTAATTTGTAACATTTGAGTAATCCCTAACAAATTATCTGAATGTTTGGTGCATAACTGTCAAACGATGCACAACTACATTTACTTACTTTTATTATTGACGAGTGCTGCCATCTTCACGTTAAAGTTGGAAACTTTTCAGACCACCCTGGTAAGTTAATTTAAACGCAAAAAAAT